TAAATTATTAGCAACAATTTACTTTGACTACTTAAATATATATTACAGATTGTTCTGAATCTCAATTAAACAACAATAAATAAATGCCTCTAGACTTTCGAAGGCACGAATTTCATTGTGGGTTATTTTACTTATTCCAACAATAAAAAAGTTTACAATGATATTCATTGTTATGGTAGGGACATCGTTTAAACACAAATTAAAATCACTTGCACTCATTGTATAAGGATCTACGTCGTTTAAATTGTTTAACTTTTGTACACATCTGTTTTTGTCTTCGACGGAAAGACATCGTGCATAATCACTTAAATTATCCATACTTTAAAAACAAATCACACACCTTCACTTAAACCCGTCACAGTAACCTCAAACGAAAATATTAATTTCCAATTCACCGCTTAAAACACATGGATGTATTTTGGGTGACGAGGAATTCAGACCAAAACAGCGTTCTGTATTTTTATTTTTATTATGTATTTCTAAACTCAAATCGCCAAAAAAAGCACCCTGATACACAGAAAAGATATGAAAGAAGCTATTCACGTGTTTATTTTCTAGATAAATACCCACACTTTTAAATAAAATGCGAAAATGTTAACATTGTCACTTATGGAGTTTCACGGCGCTTGTCAAACACTGAGTTCCCGCCATAGCGTGACGTCACGTGTTAGTGGCTAATTTAAACTCAAGCATGCAGCGACTTGTGTCCACACGCTGAGTTTTCCCCGCGCAGTTATAACTGTGCACGCTAACAACAGACTTGACTGCACATGCCACATTCTTCCCCACACACTAGCAGTTTAACTGAACCCCGTGGCACGTACATTCAAGTCTTGACTCTTCCCTCTGTGTGTGTGGCCGCCTTTAGGGTCGATAGTTTTCTAATTGATAATGAGAACCTTCCATTTATCTTAGAACATACCTACACTTTTATCGGAAATTAATGATTATGGATTCAGGTGATCCAAGGAAACCCGTTGCAATTTTAATTCAACGCGTTGCTAACTTTGGAAAATACCTAATTTGACAGCATAACCTCACTTTTTAAAACGACGTACGTCCACGACCTGGGTGCTTATTCTCGAGCGTTCGAGTCGAGACGTATACGACTCATCTCGAATGATTCTGACAGTTTGGATTCTTGACACCGTTCGACTGTACGAGTCGGGTGTGATTCGGCGTTCGAATCGAGTATAAATCGAGTCACCGGTGAGTCATATACGTCTCCACTCGAACGGTTCGAGAATAAGCCCCTTGGTCTTTAATGGTAACTGACGAGTGATTAGAAACTACTTCGTAAAACCAAGATGTAGCACTTAAATAAATGCAGAATCGTTTTTTCGAGATTTTCGACGCAAACAAAACATTTTTCGGTATTCCTATATTTCCAATAGCTTTAACATAGTCCTTCGTCGGGATTCAAACAGTTCCCTCAGTCGTAACAACCCCTGACCTTACGGTGATATCGAGGTTTATCAGATAATACCGAATGTGCGCAGATTTTTCGTCATCATCTGTCATTTGGATTTTCATTTTTCGTTGAGTTGTTTCTGCCTGCAAGTTTTACTTTTATCGCTGTTATTGTAATTATTTTGTTATTCGTTGCTAATTTAGTGTTTGGCCAGTTTGATTTTACGTGATTTATAATTTTATTAAGTGGCTGCTGGCCTACGCTTGAAATTTTTTTTTTTATTTTTTTTCTTAAATTAAAAAAAAATCCATGTACAAGTAGTTTTTTCACAGACGAATAATTGTAGACTATTTAAATTTTTTACACAAAATCAGGTTGAATTTAAAACAAATCCGGAGGATATTCCGTTTTTTTTAATTTAACAAAAATCTAGGGGGCCCCGAGTGTCTTTTACTTTAAGAAATTGTAAAGAATCTCGGGCACTCTGAGTGCCTTTTTTTAAAATTCGAAAAAATCTCAGGGATCCCGAGTGTCTTTTTCGAACTGTCTAAAAACAATGGCAGTCCTTTATTACACGCAGCTTCAATATCTCAATCCGTTCACAAGATGTAGGTGGTATTTTAAATGGGTCCTGGATATTTTCGTTAATAGCTCGAATGGCAACTGCGCCTTTCACTATCTCACGTGATCAACGTGTGTCACAACTACCTGTGTTGTCAGGTTTGCTTTCTATTATTAAAAACTGACCGCCTTGGTAGTCTTTAGGTAGCTAATTTTACTTTGTAATCGTTAAATTCAGTTTTAACTTTAGCAACGCAATTTCATTGGAACATTAATTTATTAAATTTTCAGAAGTTTACGGATTATGCGTACTATTGTTAATAAATGATGGTACAGCTTTGATGGTCATTTATTAACCTTGTTATCGAGTACCCACAACAAGAGGGGATTATAAAATACGGATAAGGGCAGGTAAAGGTTGATAAGGAAAACAGTTGGTTTTTGGAAAATTGATACATCTTTGGATCTATTGTTAAGTTTTAGTTTTAAATTAGAATAAATAGTTTTATTTTGTCATAATATTTCTGCTTTAAGAATTTTTCTTCTTAATGTGTATAAATTGTACGGATGTGATGTGTTTGAACTAGAATCTTGCAAGTTGGTGCAATATGTTGCTTTTTACAAACAAGATAAAATATTCTGCAATTTGTCGATCCACGTAGTGTTAGACCGTCCATACTTCTTGAAACAGGTATGTATTAATTACTTAATGACAATGAAGTTCAAAATTAAAAACTCATATCGCAGCTTCAATAATAATACAAATTCGAGATTTCCGGTGAAATTTTACTTTATTGTACAATCACTAAGATATATGATCGTTTTCCGGGTTGGGACCGTGTCAATTGAGTGGGCGTACATCTCAGTTATTTTGTTCCATCACGTGCTATGTATCTTTATACTTTGAGCCGTTTTGTTTTTAATAAATTCAACATGGTGAACTGCAAAACTTTGTAAGTCGTGGAATGGAAGTAAACAATCTGTGAAAGACAGATTTAGTTTTCATAAGTAAGTAATAAATGTATAACTTGAGTAACTTTGCCCGCCACTGTTTAGCGATTCTCTCGAAACTGGGGGCGTGGTTTAGCGAGCGCGTATTCCAAACACCGTCGTAAACGGTGTCTAGATTTCGGATGGTCGGTGCCACATTTTTCGACCGTACTATCCCTCCGTTCTTATATTCTACCCTCCTCGGGATAACTATAGCTACGACCAAAGCCTTGTACTTGTAAACCTGGAACTACTGGAGAGTAGAAAACAAAAAACGAAATTCGTTTGTGGTTTTCAAAATTTCATTGACTGCCCCGACCTAGTTATGTTATTTGATATTAGAGTACCTAGATTAGGTTCTCGTTGCGCTGAAACTTTTGTACTTTCATCGTACCAATTTTACGTTTCATGCACCTACAGTATCAATTACATAGCTTAAAAAATAAAGAGACTCGATTTAGTTATTTCTAGCGATCTGAAATGGATAATATCTTATCTTAAAAAATGTCGATGTAAACCGTTTTGGCCTCTTGATAGCAATAAAACCTGTTATCTATTTAATTTTACCAAAGCGTTTGAAAAACCCATTTTGATGATGATATCGTCCAATTAAGTAGTAGGAATAGATAGCGATTTTGTAACAGACTAGTTAAAATTATTTAGGTATATGCATCAATGATTTTTTTTAAACTTTGATGGTATCATGTGTAGACTAAATTCACAAAATTCGCTCGACACCCCACACTATTGTACTTATTTTTCATAGAGTTGACAATTTAAGGTAACAACGCTTCAGTATGAAGAAGATCAGCATCATTGAGTTGATCCATACATTTTAAATTTTTCAGACCTAGAGTGGCTCCAGAAATATACATAAGCGGGGAGCTAAATTTAAAGCAGTTACTTTGTCTATTGTCATTGGGATTTTTATTTTCTTTGAAATTAATTTTTCCATATAATACACATGTAAATATTTTGTCTGCTGATTACTGAACCCTGGCAGATATTTTGGCCGGTAATTACAAGATATTCACTTATACTAGGTATTATTATTATTACTATTAGTTTTTTTAAAACGGGCGCAGTTATGGTTTTGACGGACACGTGCCGTTCTAGAAAACATGGAATTGACATTACAAGACAAAAACAGTTTCACATTGTTAAACTGTTTTTGGTTTAATAATAAGGCCTTTACTAACGCAAAGTAGACAAAAAAAATTGAGTTTATAGTTGATCGATACGATTGTCATGATGTTTGAATTCAAATTTCTGACACCCGGAGAGAAATAAGATAACAGTTTAATAGATACTTACTGACATACGTTTTTGGACCAAAGCCAACTGCGGTAACGATTATTTTGCTCACCCGTTATTTAGGTTTTGTTCACATATATGCCTATAATTACACAAAAGGAGCAATCAAAAGTTAACCTTTAAAAATTAAAAAAATCTAATACAGAATTCATCCAGCAATCGAATGAGTCCTTTTTCATAATCTAGAGCATCTACAAGTTCGTTCAATAAATTTTCATTCTCGTCACAACCCACTTTGTGAAGTTCTTGTAGTAGTAATAATAATGTGCCCGTTTCTCGATTTGTTGCACAAATTCCAAACAATTTCTTGATATTTTGGGAAAACCCAATTGGAAGTGAAAATAAATATTTAATTCCAAAATTTTTCAGAATGATTCTTACTACTACTTATTACTAATTTTGGCACGTAGTTGTCCAAATATTCTAAACAGATACTAAATTCTCTTAAAAATTCTTGCTTTTGGGCATCTAATTCCGCGACTCTGTGGGGCATTGCATCGACATTTATAATTTACAAGAAAACAGTCGGTCAGCATATTTCTTAAAATTGGTATATGACACAGGAGAAGACAGTTCCATAACGACTTCCTTGAGATCATTTAAATGAATTCTTCTGTCCACTAATTCAAGCTTACCTTCTCACATGAATTCTTCCTGTTACTTTCTACGTTTTTCTCATAAACAATAACACTAAGCAATACTTAATCGAAAACAAACAAATAACTAATGTTGTATTGATTTTTTATTTCTCATATGTGAAACATAGTCTTAATAAAATTAACGTTTACATTTTAATGACCGACATTTTGAAGTTCTATATAATAGTAAGAATTAATGTTTAGACGGTAAAATAGTCCGACAAATCTAAATCTGAATCTAAATCGACGAACTCGGGCATAAACTCAAAATTATTGCTTTGAGCTACTGCTTCGCACTGCCCCTTAATGTTTCCTATTAAATTTTCAAGGATGTTTTCTTCTTGAAAGTTGAGCTGTTCTGCCTTAAGTTTGGTTTCTTGGCACGTTTCGTAGGCACTTCTGTATTTCTCGCTAATATTTTTAGCATCTAAATTGTACAAAAAACGTTCACAGTATTTGATCAAAAAACTTTTTCTTTCACTAAAAGTTATAAAGCGTTCATCTTCTTTCTTGTATTCTTCTGCGTCAGTTAAGGTGTTTTTAATTTCACCTTCGCTTCTATTGCCTCTGACATAATTTATTTTGATTTCTTTATTATTTTCACCGTCTTCTCGTTCTTCTTGTGCACTGACCGTTAAAATTCCATTTTCGTCCACGTTTATCGATAGTTTTATCGTACACTGACCCGGAGGAGCTGGTGTCAAATCTTGTAAGGTCATTTCACCCAAAAATCGATTATCTTGCACATTTGCACGTTCCCCTTCATATATGTCAATGCTCATATGTGTTTGGTTATTGTCAAGTGTATTAAAGTTAGATGTTCCGAAAGCTGGTATAGCTGTATTTCGTTTTATCAAAAAAATCATTTGGCCAACATGATTGTCAGTCCCAATTGATAATGGAATCACATCAGTCATTTGCATTTTGGTGATTTCTTGTTCTGGGTTTTTAGAAAACATGGCCCCCTGAATCGCGGCTCCTTCCGCCACACACTCGTCAGGATTTACGAAAGTATTTAATTTTTTTCCGCCAAAATAATCCGAAAGCATTTTTTGAATTCTCGGTATACGGGTGGATCCACCTGACAGAATCACTTCATCGATGCAGTCTTTTTGAATTCCGGAAGCCTTTATACAGTTATCAACTACTTGTATAGTTCTTTGGAACAGATCATCAGCAATTGTTTCAAATTCTTCTCGTTTCAAATGTATCTCAACTTTTTTATGATTTTCGACGAAACCACGCAGATTTATTGTAGTCTCTTCTGCAAAAGATAAGGTTTTTTTAGCCTGTTCACAACTGCTGCGTAATATACAGTACTCATCCTTTTCTTTGGGCTTAAAATTATATGTGCTTTGTAATTTCTTTGAAATATAATCCACAAGTAAATTATCAAAATCTTGTCCACCCAAGCTTGTGTCTCCATTTACAGAAATAATTTCAATATTGAGTTTTTCCCTCTTCAAAAGTGCCACATCGAATGTTCCTCCTCCCAAATCATACACTAAGGAATAATTCGTTTCGCTACTGTCATTTTCGTGGTAATATGTCAAAGCAGCAGCAGTTGGTTCGTTGAGCAACTTTAACACAGAAAAGCCAGCAATTTTAGCAGCTGCCAAAGTTGCTTCCCTTTGTGAAACATTAAAGTATGCAGGAACTGTAATTACCACTTTGTTCACTTCCTTTCTTAACTTTTTTTCAACGTCATTTTTTAACTTTTGTAGAATAATCGAACACAATTCTTGCGGAGTTTTTTTCAAGATTTTGTTGCTTTGGTTTATTACAATTACGGGATCGTTTGCACTATTACATTCCATTTGGAATGGTAGGCCGTTAAGTTTGTGGTGGGTGAAAGCTTCGTCATATTTTTTACCAAGTAGACGTTTTATAACTAAAAGAGTTTCGTATATTAACTTTTAAAATAATGTTGTGTGAAACTAATACCATATATTCCATTCTCAGGCTTACTTTCGGCCATTTTCTTAGCATGTTCTCCAACTAATATTCCATCCAGACTTGGAAAAAATATAAAAGATGGTGTAATGTAACCTCCACTATCGTTTTCTAATATCTTCGTGTGGCCGTCACGGTATATAGAAACACAGCAATTCGTCGTACCAAGATCAATACCGATTACTAAATCTTCCATTATTCACAGTATCTACAACAAAATAGTAATGAAATAATAATTTTAAATTTATCTTCACTTAGCTTACTTAGCGTATTTATACTCATTTATCAACCCAAGTTTAGCAGAAATAGTGTATGACCTAACATTTTACAATCATGAAACATTTCTGCTACCTACTTTCTCTATGCAGACTCATTAAAAAAAATGACGCAAATCTTAAGTTATTATTAATAATTTCAAATTTTGAAGAAGTAATGAAACGTAAGGCAGAACTTCGACACATTTTAATTTTCACGGCGATTGAGTAGTACTACATGTTCCGAAAATTTATACTTAGTTTGGGAGCCCTAATTAGATACTTATATTACTTATCGTTTGGCACCAACCTACGAGAGATCCAGCGGCGAATGAGCATTTACGTAGACCAGAGAAAAGTCACTTACAGTCTGCACCTCAGGTCAAGTTAGGTGGAAGATTCTTGTTTTTTGTTTTAAATCACTAACACTATTATGAGCACTTTTTTGTCATATCTACGGTATGTAAGACGTAATTACCTATTTGTTTACCTACTATTTGACTGATTAATATCACGTCTTAACACCTTATCGCAGATACTTATTCCAATTTACTGTATTTGCTGATAGATATTCAAGGGTTTTATCATTTACAAGATAAAATTTTTGACTAAAATACCTATTTATTAATGTGAAACTTAAAACTATGAACGTATTTTGAACGCACTAAATTTTAAAAAACTTCAGATATATCATATATCTAATACTACTATATTGCTAACTGCTTATAAATAACAAAGAAACGGTGTACACGCGGCGAAAGAGAGACGGAAGATGGTGTTTTCTGTCTGTACGAATACGAAGCATCTGTGCGCATGTAGCAACAAAGACGAACCTAATCGGATTATAACATACCGAAAATTAGAACCCCATCTGTTTTAGCCGGTCGACGGGCAGTTTACCTAGAAAATCCTAGAAACGATACTCAGGACAGGACTCGTTATTGCGTTTTCTACATTTTTAGTTAGCTAAGTACGTTATTGTAAAATAAATGTTTTATTCTTTTATACTCGTACATTGTAAGTTATTATAATCATTATTAACACTAAAATTATAAAACCAGTTTAAATGTTTTTATAATTAGTTCAATTAAACTTGGTGAATACGGATCTGGCGAAGCCCCGAACGCAACGTAATAGCAAGGAAGATTTTATTGTAGGGTCTTTGTACCTACCGCCTAATTACGATTTTCATGGTTGCTTAATTTTTATGATCTTCCCTGTCCGGTGGTAGTTTGCAAAACGTATACTCGTAGTATTAGAGATATGAGATATATATTATGGCACTTAACCATAGAACGCACCTAAAGCTACAAAAATCTATAACGTATTTTTTCACATACCAAAAATTTGCTCAGTGCTCGTTTTCGACAATCTCTTATTCGAATCTTTCAGAAAAACAAACATCGATACCTTCTTTATCATGCTTACAGAATTAGGTCAATGTGTAATAGCAGACTTCGGTATTGTCACTTCCTGTAAACACTAACCTTAGTTTGCTTACCTTAGGCTTGTAAGAATAAATATTGGACAACCATTGAAATGTGCTGTACTGTTGAGACTTAAGGAGGTCGAAACGGCGGTCTACAGATTTTCATTGCGTTGTCTAAATGTTTGTGAATGGAATTATTTCTGTGTTGTGCAATTAAATAATTGCAAAAATTATGAAAAAACATATTTTTAGGTACAACTAGGTATATTAAAAACCACAACAAATTAAAAATATCAATTATTTCGAGTAGCAATAACAGAAAACATTTCTTTGATCTCTAATGTTTAACTTTCAATTTGGCACTGAGTGTCATTTTTCCTAATATTTTGTAAGTAAAATGAGCGCAATTACATATTCTTGCTGTTCTTCTTCAGCTGAACTACACAAAACAGTGAACTGCTGCATTTGCGTCAAGCCCTTTAAAATTGAATGTGTAAATCTTTCCTCGGCAGAAGCGCGTAAAATTCATAATAAGTCTGGACTAACGTGGACCTGCCAATCATGTCTACAGCTTGGCAGCAGTCTAAATGATCTGAAGAGGGTAATTGTTCAACTTCAAGATGAAATCAAAATTTTGAAGTCCCAAGTTTCCGCTAATGATACCCGTAATATATGCAACACTACGCAACTTATGGAGTCTGAGAAAATTATTCAGGGGATCACTGAAAGGAATAAACGTGAAAATAATTTAATGATTTTGAATATCAAAGAAGCAAATCGTTCATCCAAACAAGACCAGATTAACACTGATACTGTATATGTCAATGATCTAATGTTCCAGCTTGTTATTAATGGACCTATATCCACTCCCGTGCGTATTGGTAAGTTTGATCCTTCAAATGACTTACAGTGCAGACCTATTCGTATCCAACTCAATTCCACTTATGACGTCCTCACCGCCATAAAAAACTTCAAAAAAGTAAAATCTGTAGACCAATTTGCCCAAGTCAACATGTCTCGAGATCGTAACCCAATGCAAATGAAAATGTTCAAATCAGTGAAAGACGAACTTAACCGGCGTATTGATAGTGGTGATAAAGATTTAAAAATCATGTATCGTAGTGGTATTCCCACGATTGTTCCCTCTTTAAACTAAATAAGTCCAGCAGGTTAACAAATAGTTTCAGTATATTCTATCAAAATGTTCGTGGACTAAATTCCAAAACGCATGATCTCTATACGAGTTGCTGTGACAATTCATTTGATATTATTGTTTTCACCGAAACTTGGCTAAATGACTCTGTTTTCAATTCCGAATTATTTCCCGCAAATTATAGTATTGTCCGTTGCAACAGAAAATTTTCCCTAGTTGATAAAAGCACAGGAGGTGGAGTTCTAATTGCTTTTTCTGATTCTTGCCAAATCAAAATAGTTGACACTAAGGGTCTTACAGATTTATTACCTCTAATTGATATAGCCACGTGTGATGTTAATATAAATACAGTTGATTTTCATCTTGCGGTAGTATACATTCCTCCAAATATTAACTCTACCGACTTTGAATTATTCCTCAATGTTCTAGAGATTCTAACACTGAATAAAAAGATCATGTTGCTCGATCATTTTAATGTACCAGGATTTAGTCATTCATTTTCTACTACAACTATCAGTTGCTCTAAGTCTTCATGTGTCAAACAATTCTGCCTTTCTACTGAACTTAAGCAAATGAATAATGTATTTAACAGTAATGGAAACCTTTTAGATCTTGTTTTTGTAAATTTTGACATCAATGTTTTAATTGAATGTTACCCCTGGACTGGTCCGTGAAGATAAACATCATCCTCCGCTTCTCTTAAACTTAGAATTCATCTCAGTTCCCAATTTAGCTTCCCGTTTTCCAATATCAAAAAAGAAAATATATGATTTTCGACGTGCTAATTTTCCAAGTCTATATAATACACTATTTAGTCTTGGCTGGACGTTCTTGGAACATTTTAATGATATCAATCTGGCTCTCGATTGCTTTTACAAATGTTTATACGAAGTACTTGATTCATATGTTCCAAAAATAACACCTCGTTCTTCTAAATTTCCACCGTGGTTTTCGTCTGATATTAAGCGTAATATTGGATTAAAAAAAATATTATAGGCAAAAATGGGTGAAATCAAGAAATATTGTGTATCTCATTGAATTTAAAAGGTTAAGATCTCTAACCAAATTGCAAAAATCCAATGCATATAAAAATTATATTGTGAATATTGAAGAAAATCTTAAGTCCAGTCGTTCCGATTTATGGAGTTTTTTACAAGAAAAATACATCTAGAATCCCTACTCGTTTAACAGATAAAGATAATAATGAATATTGCGATCCGCAAGAAATTATTAATGCTTTTGCAAAAAATTTTGAAAACATGCTTTTGCCTAGTGTGTCTACATTTGCGGGCACAACTGCTACTAGTTTACTATGCTGTACTAATTCCATTACTGTAAAGCCTGTAACTCAGGAAGAACTCATTGTGATCATGTCTAAGTTTCCACCCAAGTTAACAGCCGGTGATGACCTAATACCAAGTCTTCTAGTGCGTGACTGCAAGTCTGTATTTGCTAAACCCCTAGCTCTAATAATCAATTTATCCTTAAAATTAGGAATTTTTCCTGACCAATGGAAGAGAGCTCGAGTAACACCAATCTTTAAAAAAGGAGATCCCAATAACCTGCAGAACTATCGACCGATTTCCATTCTATCAAACTTTTCTAAGGTCATGGAACAAGTATTATATAAATCTATTTATGGTAATGTGAAATCTTATCTTTCTCCTAAACAACATGGGTTTATAAATGGCAGATCTACTATCACGAATCTATCGGTAGCCCTATTAGATAACAAAACACAGGTAGACGTAATATACGTTGACTTTTCTAAAGCGTTTGATTCGATCTCACATGACCTTTTACTTCATAAACTTAGCCAATTTGGATGCTTAGACCCTCTCCTGCAACTGTTTACGTCATATTTGTCGAATAGAATCAACTATGTATTCTACAATGATTATTGTTCTTATGAATTTGTCTCAAGATCTGGAGTTCCGCAGGGGTCAAACTTAGGACCGCTACTATTCAATATTTATATAAATGACTTGCTAGAATCCATCACATGCTCCTGTCTTGGTTTTGCGGATGATATTAAGTTATATTCAACCATAACATCTGCTAGAGATATTCATAGTTTACAAACCAATTTAGATACTTTAATGAATTGGAGCTATTCTAACAATCTCATCTTAAACATAGCTAAATGTTATTTTATCTCCTTTACACGTAATAATAATCAGATTGATTCGTCCTACTCCATTGGTTCAACACCGCTAATGAGGAAAAACAGCATTAAAGACTCTGGAGTCATTTTTGATTCTAAGCTTACGTTTCATCTCCACTTCCAAGAAACTGGTAACGCCGCTAACAAAATGCTGGGATTTATTATGAGGATGTCCAAATATTTTAACAGTATTGATGCCATTAAATCTCTTTTTTTCTCATATGTGCTTAGTAAAATGGAATACGCTTCCTTCGTATGGTACCCACTTTACATGACGCAATATATGGTCCTAGACAAGATTCACCAAAAATTTTTAAAATATCTGTCTTATAAACTCGATGGAATTTTTTTCTATTTTTGTAGTTATTGTAGTTTTTCTTATTGAAATATGTATTAAGTTTTCTGTTTTTAATATTCTTAATTATTATTATTGTTGTCCTGTTATTAGGTTATCCTGTTGGACAATAAAGGATTTATTTATTTATTTATTTACTTATTTCTAAGAAAATTATGTAGTACATTTTAAACTAATATTAAAAAGTAGGTGTGGCGTTTCCCACTGTGGGTCTGTGTGTTCTCTGTGTTAATTTTAATAGACATAATAATCTCCCATATTACTGAACCGATTGTTGATGTGTATTAGGAACTAGCTGACCCCGTGAACTCCGTTTCACCTACAATTTAATTTTGAATCTGCAAAATCGAATGCTTTGAAATCTTGCAGATGTTTTAAACATATGATAAGCATAATAAATTTTTATTTAAAATATATTTACTTATCCCCTCCAAAAAATTGAT